CAATGCTTTATGAAGTGACAACATTTAAAAAAAGGAGTTTAAAAAATGAAAGTGGGGTATGTGGTGGGTTTCTGCAAATCCAATCTATTAGGGTGCTTTAACAGTTGGATTCTCTTTTTTTCATGAATATCTGCATTGTAAACGCAGAAACCGTTTGCCTGAGCAGGCTGCAGTACAGAAGGACATTTATCTTCTCAGCCCACATCAGTAATCCAGAGGAAGTAATGAGAGGACACGCTTTGCATAAAATGTCAGATCATACTCACCATACATCCAGCACTGGAGACAGCAGAACAAATAGCATTTGTTTAAAGTTGCAATGTGTTTTTAGAGATGCGTGCATACAAAAAGTGCATTTGTATACAATGTATATAACTGGATGTGTGAATACCTTAGGCCTTGTTCACACCAAATGCAGAGCAGATCCGCTCAGGTTTCTGCACACACAGTGCAGTGGGTTGTGCCGCGTTTTTGATGCGTTCCGGGCTGTTTTTGGTTAAAAAAAAATATATATATATTTTTTTTAGTTTAACATGGGCTTTCAGTGCGTTCCAGGCACTTGCATGCATTTTGGATGCGTTTGCATGCGTTCCAGAGCAGGTAAAATAGGGCTTGCTGCAGTTTTTTCACCTGCTCTGGAACTGAACGCTGCGGTGTGAACTATAGCCCAAAATACCATTGGAATACATTGGACACAGTTTTGATCCGGTCTGCAACTGCTCTGCTCTGCACCTGCTCCGTGCTTGGTGTGAACAAGGCCTAAATCAGATCATTCAGCTACAAATTAGAGAGGCAACAAGGAGTACAAGGGATTACATTTATACATTAAACCACTGACAGTTTTTGTACTCTTAAGCAACAATAGACATATGGACAATGAGATCTGGCTGATTGGAGCCAGCAGTAGATCACTATCGGAAGAGATCTGTTGCTGCACAGCTGCATGGGGGAAGGGGGGCTCGTGGGGGGTGGTATCCAGACGCCCAAGAAGAAATAAACAAGCGTAAGAAGAATATATGTGTTTCTCTTAAAAATCAATTTTAAAATAAAAATGACCTTCCCAGACTAGTCCCCAGGTCACAACAATGACATCTGATGTTCTGGATGAAATTTACATTGACTGTCAAGTGTCAAATGTTCACAGAAGTGAATGCAATGTAATTTACATTTTGAATGACCTGTGTGCATTACAGTGTAGCATCAAAAGAGTAATGATGCTCTCCTTAACTAAAACACCAATGTTTACTTTAGCTGCACCATGTTGTTTTCTGGGGGTAAATATGTTGTCTTGGGAAAAATGACAGGAAAAGTGTGTGTTTTTTTTCTAATATTTCGCTTTTTTTCCCAAAAAAAATCTAAAATATATAATTACATTAACTCAAAAAACTTGATCTATAATATGTTATTGTAAGCTACAAATGTTAAAAGTAGGGATGTTCAGATACCAAGTACCGTACTTGGTAGAAGTACAAATACTGATACTTTTCCAGCTCCAAGACCAGAGAAAAACCTCAAATATTAGGAGGCAGCTGCCATTTTTAAAGGGGCATTGGCTACGGGGCTCTTGGGATTTGTGCATCCCTGTTTGCATGTATGATTTGTTATATTAGGGATGCACCGATACCATTTCCTCCAGACCAAGTACAAGTGCAGATACTTGTCCCAGTATTCACAGATACAATTACTGATACCTTTTTGTTTAGTGTCATGTGGCAGTTTTTCTAAAACAATGCAAACTAATGATGTCAGGACAGTGATGGAGCGCCAGGGCCCAGTTGCAGCTGCAACCGCTGCGACCCTGGTAGTTCTCATGAAAAATGCCAAAGTATCGGCACTGGTATCTGAACATCCCTATTGCATAACCAAGATCTCTGAAATATTCATCCATCCATAACATACATTCATGTATGATTTGTTATATTAGGGATGCACCGATACCGATACCATTTCCTCCAGACCAAGTACAAGTGCAGATACTTGTCCCAGTATTCACAGATACAATTACTGATACCTTTTTGTTTAGTGTCATGTGGCAGTTTTTCTAAAACAATGCAAACTAATGATGTCAGGACAGTGATGGAGCGCCAGGGCCCAGTTGCAGCTGCAACCGCTGCGACCCTGGTAGTTCTCATGAAAAATGCCAAAGTATCGGCACTGGTATCTGAACATCCCTATTGCATAACCAAGATCTCTGAAATAAAGCAAAAATGCTTTAGATTGAAGAAAATAGGTCACCAGCACTCCATAAGTTAAAATGAATGAGTCCTTTTAATGGACAATGATGTCACAGAAATCCAACATGAGCCGACGTTTCGGGGCCACACAGGGTCCCTTCTTCAAGGCAAGAGATGTGACAATGTAATAACATCCACAAGCTACATATATACCCCATGTAATCAAATCATTAGTGATGTACACGCCCCCAGTGATGTAAAAACGGCGGGAAAAAAGGCCATTTTGAAAAAAAGAACAGAAAAAACTCTATATGATATAATCTCATTTAACGTCATCATATATAAAACATCATATATATAACATCCATTCATCCATCCATAACATACATTCATGTATGATTTGTTATATTAGGGATGCACCGATACCGATACCATTTCCTCCAGACCAAGTACAAGTGCAGATACTTGTCCCAGTATTCACAGATACAATTACTGATACCTTTTTGTTTAGTGTCATGTGGCAGTTTTTCTAAAACAATGCAAACTAATGATGTCAGGACAGTGATGGAGCGCCAGGGCCCAGTTGCAGCTGCAACCGCTGCGACCCTGGTAGTTCTCATGAAAAATGCCAAAGTATCGGCACTGGTATCTGAACATCCCTATTGCATAACCAAGATCTCTGAAATAAAGCAAAAATGCTTTAGGACTCAGGGGTATTAAGGTAGAAAAAGGGCCGGGGATTCAAGTGGTAAAAAAATTATTGTGATCCTACCATAAAGATCTTTGCTTAGGCACCTCCTGTTAAAAGATGACCACGCTCTTTCCTTGTCTCCTAGTTGCTCTCCTGTGTCGCACCCTGACACATGTGGAGTGCAAATGGCCATTTTAGCACATGTCATGCATTGTCCACTGTTGTCACCATCAGTAAAACTGCCCTTGCAGCTATCGCTGGAGGCACAGTGAAGATAAGGTGCTGTGTGTGTTCACAGGAAGTGACGAGGACAATGTATTTCTGGCAAGGTCATCGTGTACTTTCTGTATTTGCTAATAATGTTCTTAGCCTGAACAGTGAAAACAAATGCAGCCATCACATCTGGACTGCTAAGCTGATATATACAGAGCTTTGTTTTGGGTTTGAAACTGCTTTTAGGCTTTGGAATAGATGGTACAGAAGATAAATGCAAGATAATGTTTTTTTCTACAGTATGATATTACGTACTTGGCCATTTAAGCCAGCACATGCCAATGGCTGCGACAGAAAACAATAAATGCATGTTGTCATTTTGTACCACTGTGCACATAAACATACTAACAAATGTTTTTCGTTTCTTTACAGAATGAGGACCAACAGAAAGCTGTGCTTTGTGCTGGTGCTTCTGGTTCCATTAAGCTTCTTCTGCTTCCATTTGTTGACCAGATCTGACAAAGTGGTGGCGCTGTGGAATAGAGAAGCCCCTACGGATATCCTGGATACCACTATACTACAGCCTGTAGACAAATATGCTCACATATCATTGAAATGGAAAGATGAAGTTTTAGAGTATGTACAATTGCTATATTTTTTCAGCTTCTATTTTTTCCAGATCTGACATCATTTTGTATGATTAGGCCAAGTTATATTAGCTATTTAATTAACTACATCTTCTAGCATCTCCATTTTATCACTGCCATCAGATGTGCAGTTTTGCACCATGTTAACAGTTATGTGTAAATATTATGCAAGTATTTATCACTGCTTTCATGGTCTGGCTGTAGGCGGGAAAAAGGCCATTTTGAAAAAAAGAACAGAAAAAACTCTATATGATATAATCTCATTTAACGTCATCATATATAAAACATCATATATATAACATCCATTCATCCATCCATAACATACATTCATGTATGATTTGTTATATTAGGGATGCACCGATACCGATACCATTTCCTCCAGACCAAGTACAAGTGCAGATACTTGTCCCAGTATTCACAGATACAATTACTGATACCTTTTTGTTTAGTGTCATGTGGCAGTTTTTCTAAAACAATGCAAACTAATGATGTCAGGACAGTGATGGAGCGCCAGGGCCCAGTTGCAGCTGCAACCGCTGCGACCCTGGTAGTTCTCATGAAAAATGCCAAAGTATCGGCACTGGTATCTGAACATCCCTATTGCATAACCAAGATCTCTGAAATAAAGCAAAAATGCTTTAGGACTCAGGGGTATTAAGGTAGAAAAAGGGCCGGGGATTCAAGTGGTAAAAAAATTATTGTGATCCTACCATAAAGATCTTTGCTTAGGCACCTCCTGTTAAAAGATGACCACGCTCTTTCCTTGTCTCCTAGTTGCTCTCCTGTGTCGCACCCTGACACATGTGGAGTGCAAATGGCCATTTTAGCACATGTCATGCATTGTCCACTGTTGTCACCATCAGTAAAACTGCCCTTGCAGCTATCGCTGGAGGCACAGTGAAGATAAGGTGCTTTGTGTGTTCACAGGAAGTGACGAGGACAATGTATTTCTGGCAAGGTCATCGTGTACTTTCTGTATTTGCTAATAATGTTCTTAGCCTGAACAGTGAAAACAAATGCAGCCATCACATCTGGACTGCTAAGCTGATATATACAGAGCTTTGTTTTGGGTTTGAAACTGCTTTTAGGCTTTGGAATAGATGGTACAGAAGATAAATGCAAGATAATGTTTTTTTCTACAGTATGATATTACGTACTTGGCCATTTAAGCCAGCACATGCCAATGGCTGCGACAGAAAACAATAAATGCATGTTGTCATTTTGTACCACTGTGCACATAAACATACTAACAAATGTTTTTCGTTTCTTTACAGAATGAGGACCAACAGAAAGCTGTGCTTTGTGCTGGTGCTTCTGGTTCCATTAAGCTTCTTCTGCTTCCATTTGTTGACCAGATCTGACAAAGTGGTGGCGCTGTGGAATAGAGAAGCCCCTACGGATATCCTGGATACCACTATACTACAGCCTGTAGACAAATATGCTCACATATCATTGAAATGGAAAGATGAAGTTTTAGAGTATGTACAATTGCTATATTTTTTCAGCTTCTATTTTTTCCAGATCTGACATCATTTTGTATGATTAGGCCAAGTTATATTAGCTATTTAATTAACTACATCTTCTAGCATCTCCATTTTATCACTGCCATCAGATGTGCAGTTTTGCACCATGTTAACAGTTATGTGTAAATATTATGCAAGTATTTATCACTGCTTTCATGGTCTGGCTGTGGACTGTCTCCTCCCACTCCCTATGTCTTCCTGTTTTGGCAGTGAGGCTGCTTTTTACATTTGGTGGCCAATAGGAAGGTGTGCAGAGTGGGAGAAGGCAGACAAGAGGTCAATGGTGAAAGTTGTGGTTGGCATTTACATAACAGAGTTTATCTGTAAATAAATAAGTCAAGGCAACTGGTTTTGCTGTATTTTTCTTGAAGACGTTTCACTGGACAGCCGACCAGCTTTCTCAATTCAGAATACATTCTGAATTGAAAAAGCTGGTCAGATGTCCAGTGAATCGTCTTCATGAAAAATACAGCAAGTCCAGTTGCCTAGATTTTTTTACAGATATACCATGACCTGGATGAATGAGAACCTTCACAGACATAACAGAGTTTAGAAAATCCCCAGTGGTTGTTGTTTTACAGACTTGGGGCCTGGGTTTACTTTTAAAAATAACAAAGTTTTACTTTGGACCAGATAGGGAGGCAAATAAAATAAATATGCTGTATATATATTTGTTCCACGGTGTAGCAGCACCACCAAAGAAAAGCAACATGGTCATTGACTGCAATACAGACACCACTCATCTTTCCACATCATTCAGACTCATCTAGGTAATTTACTTAGCAGCAGAATATGAGGCTATTAAAACTGTGCTTGGTCCACACAGTGTCTACGGCTATTCCAGGTAACAACGTGTACCAGTTCTTTGCTTAACAGTCAGGCAACCTTTGCCTACCTGGGTTGCGTTTTAATGTTTATGGTACCGCAATACATAAAAGGTTATATGCACACTCCAAAGACATGGTAGGTTAATTGGCTCCTCTCCAAAAAAATTGTCTCTCTATGTATGTGAGATAGGGGCCTTAGATTGTAAGCTCATTGAGGGTAGGACTGATGTGAATGTGCAACTATGTAAAGTGCTGCGTAAATTGAGGGTGCTATATAAATACCAATAATAAATAAATAAAAATAAATACTGAACACTGATGAGGCTAGGACTAATGGCAGATAGGTAGGCAGGGGGCCATTATAAATACTTCAGCACAGTATTATTATTATTATTATGTTTTACTTATGTGTCTCTTTGGGTTATCATAGATATGAGATGATGACCATACATGATCCCATGTCTGTGGGTTGCACCCGAGCTGGCTATTATAGAGAGTTGTTATTTGGCAGGACATGATTGCTATTGTTCTAGCTTTATCTTCCTGCCTTAACTATAGGATGTACCTGTAAGTTAGCAGAGCCCTTTGTAGCACTCCACCCCTTAAGTACCCTGAGGGAGGTCAGTTTGCGCTCTCTAATGCCTGTCACCAGCTTTTAATTATGGGGGAATTTTAACTTAATCAACCAATGTAATCTTTAAATTGGTTTGCATGCAAGTAAAGCTGGCATTTTATTGTTATTGTTTCCTACTGCAGAAATGTAATAGTACATTTCCTGCAATTTATTCCCATGTATTCTACAGAAAAAAAATCATCTTTGAAGTGTAAGAGTTTTATATTGTTGATTTGAAGCCAGGGTGATTTAATATAATTGTATCTCTTCACAGACTTTTGCCAAAGAACAGTTGTAAATGTGAAGCTGAGGCCACTCTAAACATTCCCTTCAGACAAGAGCTCATTGGTAAACCGTATGCGGTTGACTTTACGTCAGCTGTGGAGCCTTCACTATTTGAGGATACTTATAGACGGAGAGAATTGGAATATAGCAACTTCAAAATGAGGTAAAACCACCAGCAATATATTAATGTACGGTACCATTGTTAAAAAAGAAAATAGCATTAAAAAAGATTAATTAATTGCTAAGCAAAAATATTTCTCATACATGGTTTAATTTGTAACTAAATGATGCCTTTCACCCACTAATTACTAGATAAATATTCCAAAGTTATGAAACCCTTGTCCTCTGATGCCAAGAGAGGCAGATAGTGTTAGGAAGTCTCTCCAACTGGGACACAGAGAAAAACAAAAAACAGCATTGGGTTAGTACATCTGAAAATGTTTTTATTTCTGTTAATGCCTTTTGGCTGGGTGACAACTGCTTCCACCATTTCTTGTATGGGTATCGCAGGGCATCGAAGGGACAGGAAGCGAGGGAAAATCACCCCAAAGGGGTCACAGAAACGAAAAGCTGACAGAATTGTTTACTTTCTTCTCTATTCAAAGATAAAAATAAATGCTGGCAAGTTATGATGGCCTTACATGTAGGAAATTGTGATGCAACACATGATATTGATCAGCACTTATGATTGACAAAAAATATCTATTGAATACACTATTCATCAGCACTGACCTATGAAAAGAAATGATCAATAACCAATAATTTCTCTGAAACAAACAGATATTTGTTCCATCGATCAAAAGCAAACAACTAAATTCTGCCAGGGCTGATCAAGTTGGCAGAGTCTAAAGGCACCCATACATTGTACGATTTGTTTTCAGAAATCATACATGGACGGTCTTTCGAGCGACAATTGAACAGTTGGTGGTACATCACCGATTTTCGTTTTTGATATCTTGGTCGACATTTTTCAGTTATTCAGGTTAGAAAAAAAATTTCGAACGAAAGTCGATGCATCAGTGGGGTTTTCGTTTGTTAAAAATCTCAATTCTAGCTTTTACATATACTGATCAGCCATTACATTATGACCACCCACTTAATATTAAGTAGGTCCCCCTTTTGCTGCCAAAACAGCCCTGACCCATCAAGGAATGAACTCCTAGACCTCTGAAGGTGTGCTGTGGTATCTGGCACCAAGCTGTCAGTACCAGATCCTTTAAGTCCTGTGAGGTGAATACAATGGTGGTTGGGAAATAGACAGATGTGATGTGTAGACTTCTAAAACCAAAAACATTTCTACTGCCTACTAGGGACATTGCCCATTGCCCAATAGGCTAGGACATCTTTATGGGAAGATTTAGTTTACTTTAGGATGTGCCCTACTTTTGCAAGCATCTCGCAAGTATAGTTGAAATGTATCCAGAAGCTCTGTGCACATGTCTAGGAAAACAAATGAATCAGTTGCAAGAGTGGGAGGTGAGAATTCTGAGAAATCACATACAGTATATAAACATAGTACAATTGTGATGGTTGGTGGAAAGAGTAAGCCATTTTAGAAAATGAAGATTAGCTGTAGGGTGAAATAGAAATGTAATTTGTAATACCATTAAAGTAAAATTAAACTCTACTCTACTATTTCCTGCTAGCAAGCAGTAGATATATGCAAAAACATTTAAAAAATAAAAAAGTTACCAAAAACAGAAATTAGGGATGTCCCGATACTGATGCTAGCATCGGAATCGGGCCCGATACAGGGCATTTTGACAAGTACCTGTACTTGTCAAAATGCCCC